CGGGCCGCTCATGCCGCTCATGCTGCCCATGCGCGCCGGGCCCGCGGAGGCACGGCGGGGCGAGCAGATCACCGGATGCGCGCGGCAGCGCCCCCTCAGAGCCTCAGAGCTGGGCGTTGCATTATTTGCACGCCAGGCGTTGTCCCTCGCGTTCGGGCCCCGCGGCCATCACAGATCGATCTGGCTGACCAATGCAACAGAATAGTGGGGTCTACAGGGCTCCAGTCGTCGTTTGGGGCGATGTTTCAGCTGTCTCGCGACATCGGATCTCCGAGGAGGAGAAACAGGGACCACCGCCAATGAGAACCCATCGAAGGGGGGCTCGAGGTATGCGCCACGTCGCTTGGTCGGCCAAAGAGCTCGGCGTGTAGACACTACAGCTTCGCAACCTGGTGGACGCCAGAGCGTCTACACACCGAACTCCCTCGCCGAGTTCCTTGGCTCCTTGGTCGACAACTAGACGTGGCGTATGCCCTCACATGTTGCCAATCAATGAACCCGGCGTGACCCCAATTAGGGGAAAGCTTCCTGTTGCATGGGCGCAATGCTTGGAATTGTTTGCAGTAAGAATACGATGCACCAGGGGCGGGGAACCCGGGGAACCCAGGGAACCCGAAGAACACGGGGAACCCTGGGAATCCAAGGAACCCGAGGACCCGAACCCGTGGAACCCGAGGAACCTGGGGAACCTCCGAGGAAAGGGCAAAGTAACCACCCGGGGCACCAACCTTTGGTTAACCAAGTAAGACCGACTAGTTGGGGAACGTCGCAACAAACAACATCAGACATTGCAAGAGCGCCGGTCCCTATCTTCTGCTTCATTGTTCAAGCCGGATCGATCTGTGACGGTCCCGAGATCCGAAGACGGGCGAAAACGCCCGTTGTTAGGAATTGCAGCGCCCGGAGGTGCCGCCAGGAGGGGGCCGGCACCGATTCAAGAAATCCTCGCGGAACACCGACGGCTTATGTGCATGCCGCCTGTTGGTCCTTCGAGCACTCCTCGACGCCCCCATGGATTCCCTCCCCCATGATAACGACACGCCCGAATCGGGCCGGGCGAAAGGGGGGGATAGCAAAGGGGGGCGGTGAGAATCAGGTTACGTCGTATAGCTGACTTTCCCGGCGCCTCCCGGCGCCGGGAGGCGGCCATGTACCGAGCTGCATGCAGCAGATTTTGTACCCCCCCTTTCCCTACAGTCGGGGCGCTGAAGAAGGAACCCTTTTCGTTGGGGATGGGCTCCGTGTTCCTTGATTGTTTCACAGTTTGCCTTAGGTTTTCCTTAGGTTTTCGATGGGAAATCGAACTTTAACTGATGGGAAAAAGGGGCCTCGTCCCCTATCTAGGGTTCCTTAGGTCAACGTCCCGACTCTACCCCCCCCTTCGCTCGGCCCGACCGAACGGCGGCGGGAGCTCGCGGGTCGGAGGCGGCCGGGGGGCCCGAGCTACAGCTGCACCTCGACGCAACATCGGTCCGGAAGGGGAGCTGCAGGGCATGAGCCGCCCGAGCTCGGGCCCCAAAAACCCCCTCCCGGAGCCCACCTCGGGCGGCCGAGGAGGGGGCGTCCAAGAGGGGGAGGGGAGCTAATCATGGCCGGCGGCACGTGCGCGGCCCGGGGGGGGGGGGGGCCAGGGGCCAGGGACGTATTGATTCAAGGAGGGGCGCCCTGCCCTCGCCATGATATCCCCCCCCCATCCCCCCCCCTCTGCTGCCGCCCCCCGACCATCTGGTGCAGTGCTGCACCCGGGACCTGTTTCCGATCGCCCCGTGGCCCGACAGCGGCCCCATGAGTTCGAAACGGGCACAACACAAACCTCCCGCCCTTTTTTGCGCTGGCTGGAACCAGCGCTGGGCCACCTCAGCCCCCCCCACCGGCTGCACGCAAGAGTGACCCTGGGTAAGAGTGACCTTTGGAGCGCGGCTTCTGGGGGGCCGCAACGCAGGCGCGCAAGACGCTACTATCGCATCGCGTTCGGCGGCCTGGGCACCCCACTGGGCCCGCACCAAAGGCCACTCCGGCCAAGGGTCATTCTTGCGTGTAGCTGACCCCAGGCGGCTCCAGCTCGAAGGCTCCGAAGGCCCGGCGTCGCTGCCACGGGGATCTTGGCGGGCGGAGGCCGTGGGCTGCGCGCAGGTCGGGCCGACGGGAGCCCGTGAGGGGCACCGAAAGGGGCACGCTCACGGGCTCTCGAACGGAGGCTTCGAAGTTTGGCGCGCCGCCACCGCCTCTGAGAGGAAGTTCGAGAGTTCGAGGTTCGAAGGAGGCTCGTCTGAGGTTCTCGGGCGTTTTCGCTGGTTCTCGGCGGCGGTCCAGCTTCGGGATGCTCTTCAGCGGCCGCGCCTCGCCGAGAGGCGTCCCGGGGTGCCCGGAGGGTCCCGAACGGCCGCCGAGAGGCCCGAGCGATAGCCCGAAAGCCACCAGGGACCAGCTCGGGGGGGAGGCCATCGACCTGACATCGGCTACGTACTGATCGGTGATACAGTCGGGGTGCTGAAGAAGGAACCCTTTTCGTTGGGGAGGGGCCCCGTGTTCCTCAAGTGTTTCACAGCTTGCCTCAGGTGTTCCTGGTGTTTTCGACGGGGAATCGAAGTTTGACCCATGGAGAAAAGGGGCATCGTTCCTTATTTAGGGTTCCTTAGGTCAACGCCCCGACTATAGGCTCTCATTAGTGCATCCGCACGCTCCTGGGCGGGGTGGGCCACCAGGCCCGCGTGGGGCGGGCCATCGGGCCCCGCCATGGGCGATCAGTGCGATCCCTCGGAAGTCGATGCTTTCCCCCCTGAGCTCGTTCCCCAGGAGGGGAAAAACACACACAGACACAATTTATCGTCGATTTCCCCCAAAATATGGGGAAATGTGGGAAGTGTGGGGGAAGACAAAAACGCAGAAAATATGGGAAAATATGGGGAATGATTTTATTTGTGTGTATTTATTTGTGTCCCAGGGCCCCTTCAGTTCCCCCCGACCGTTGCCCCTGACAGTGGGCTCCGCGACGGCCGGGCAGACGGGAAAGCTCGGGGGGCGCGCGGCTCAGAGAAGTCCTGGCGCTGCCGCGCAATCGTGTGCGCGCGTGTGGGCGTTGACCTGGACTCGCCTCGGCTCTCTTCGCTGGTCGTTGCCGCTCCGGTCCGCCGCCTCCCCGCCGCCACCATCTCTCGCTCCGCCACTCCCGTTCCTGCGTGGCCCCCGTCGCACGCCAGCGCCGAGACCAGCGCGGCGCCGAGCGCGGTTTTCGCCGAGGTGGCAGCGCCAGGCGTTCCGAGCGTGTGCTGACCTGCAGGTGGCCAGTTCGTTGCTGACGATCGTCAGTAGCCGTCTTGTCGTTGTGTCACCGGTGAACGCCACCATCGCCGCGTAAGAGTGTGCGTGTGTTGACCAGGTCCGGATGGGGCAGGGATCGCAGGCAGGCACCAGCCAAACCACAGAAGCACTGAGGGCGCCAACCACCTTGCTGCAGCTCCGTCGCAGCGCGTCCGCGGTGGCGAACCTGCGTCTGGAGGGTAGCCAGGATGCTGCTGGCTCATCTCTATGATGCCGATGCCTGGCCCGAATACCACAATCCCGTACTAGAGGACTAGGGTCTGGAGGAAGAGATAAACAACAACTACATTAACATTAGCCTAGCGATGGACCCAACCATATGCAGTTGTGAATACCGTCGTTGTTAGTATCGCCTTCGGTGGATCTCCTTATGGGGCCACGAAACGCGTCAAGAGTGTGCCGAAATAAGACGGCGCCGCCATGCGGACTGCGCCACTGGGACCTTAGGTGGAGCTCCCTATGGGGCCACGAAACGTGTGAGGGGTGTGCCCAAATAGGGCGGCGCCGCCATGCGGATTGCGCCAATGGGACCTTAGGTGGAGCTCCATATGGGGCCACGAAACGAGTGAGGGGTGTCCAAATAGGACGGCGCCGCCATGCGGGCTGCGCCACTGGGACCGTAGCTGGAACTACCTATGGGGCCACGAAGCGTGTGAGGGGTGTGCCAAAATAGGGCGGCGCCGCCATGCGGACTGCGCCACTGGGACCTTAGGTGGAACTCCCCATGGGGCCACGAAGCGAGTGAGGGGTGTGCCCAAATAGGACGGCGCCGCCTTGCGGACCGCGTCACTGGGACCTTGGGTGGAGCTCCCTATGGTGCCACGAAACGTGTGAGTGGTGTGACGAAGACGATGACGATGATGGTGATGATGACGATGATGGTGATGACGGCCATGATGATGCCGCTGATGATGATGACGGTAATGATGATGATGATGATGATGATGGTGATGATGGTGATGATGATGATGATGATGATGATGATGATGATGATGATGATGATTAGGATCATGATTACAATCATACTAATGAAAATGCTGAGAATGACGATAAGGACGATGATGATGTTGATGGTGATGATGATGATGAACATGATGATGATGCTGATGATGTTGATGATGATGCTGATGATGATGATGAGGATGATGATGACGGCCATGACGTTGATGATGATGCTGATCATGATGATGATGAGGATGATGAGGATGGGAGGAGCTTTGCAGCGCCTCCCAGCGCGGTCAGCGGCGGCCGCGGCCGCCCGCCCGCCGAGGGGAGGGAGAGAAGCAAGTGGCCGACGGCTATGCCGCAAACCACAAAAGGAGCTGGATCCAGCGGTGGCGACGAGCCAAGCGGGAAAAAGCTCAGAAGCGTCCAGCCGCGTCGACGAGGAGAGAAGAGCAGGCAGGCTGCCCGCTCAAAGCACCAGGCAGGGCAGGTCGTGGGAGCCAACCCCGTCGACCCAGTACATCTTTCTCCAGTCGTTAGCGTAGGCCAGAGACGCAATCCGACGGCGCACTAGGCATCTGGTACCTGGTTGCGCCTTTGGGCTGGGAGACTGGCGTCTCCGTCGCCCAGGGTGTCGGCACACCCTGTTGCAGAAGCTCCGCCCCGTTGTCGAGGAGGAAGGCCACGACGAACACGATCAATGACGGTAGTCTGAGCCTGCTTCGTCGTGGGGTTCACCGAGAAGCCCTCGCACAACCTTCGCAACTTCCGCGCAGCGTGCGGCCGTGTTTGTTGACAAATGCCTGCACACTTGCTGCAGCAGTAGACGCCGTAGGCCAGGAAAGTGTCATGCCCAAGCTCACGAAAAGCCTGCTGCATTGGATCACTGTCAGCGTCGGCAGACGGGCTACCACTATCACGGTCGCCAGAGTGGTGTTCACCACCAGGCTGTGGAACACCAGGCTGGTGAACACCAGGCTCTTGTGCTTCGCGTTGTAGGTCAGCACAGCGGACGGCCACCTGAACTCGCCCATCGGCTGGCGGAGTCCAGGAGAGGCGAGTCGTCTCGAAGAACACCTTCGCCATTGCTCGTGTGATCCGCGTGGGAGTGCACTTCCTGAGCGAACCTTAGCGTAGAATGCCCATGGCGGCGGCGATGTCCAGCAGCACCGCAGCGTCCGCGACCGCGTACTTCAGCTGGCTGGCGGTGAGCGGGCGGGCGTCCCAGTTGGAGCACTGCTGCGACTTGTCCAAGGTGCGGCCCAACCAAGACTCGGCGGTTGCCTTCAGCCCAGGCAGCCGCGCACGCAGCTCCGGGGCGCGCGCCACGGCCACCGCCTGCAGGTCCACGACGCGAGCGTCCGGCGGCGGCTCGGCGCCGCTGCCGCGGGCGAGGGCGCGCAGGCGCCGCATGTCCTGGGCGAACGCGAAGCCCAGCAGCAGCGCACGATCCGAGGCCAAGAGGCTCCTGACGAGGGCACGCAGCGCCGGGGTCGGCTGCGCGGCGTCCAACACCCACGCACGCCCCGCCACGGCCAGCTGCACCAGCGAGAGCCCGTCACGGCCACAATTCCTGCCCCACTCCGTGTCCACGCCGACTGGCACCCTGCGGCCGCCAGCGCCAGACTGCAAGGCAGCCTCGAGCTCTTCGTGCACGGCTCGGACCTAGAAGAGCAACAGCGGCAGAAACATAGACGTTCGGAGGTCCGTGTGGGGTCCTTGGTTCGGCGGTGGAGGCGCCGCCAGGGGGGGGATCCCCGCGGACCTCCGGAAGGCTGCGAGGATTGCTGAAGGCGTCCCTGCCCCAAGGCGTCCGCAGATGTTCTCTCCATTTTGACAACTCTGGGGAACCAGGGGCCTCGTGAGGAATGCTCTGGAAGCCGTGGGGATCCTGCTCGGAAAAATCATGGGACACCTTCTGGGCCAATTACCCTCGCGAAGAACCCAACCCATTCAACGCGCGTGGAACCGATGAGGGCCCGATGGGCAACCTCGCAGGGCGGTAGCAATGGCACAGATCGAAAAACAAGGGCACACGAGTCTCACTCGTGGTCAAGAGCGGGGAGTGATCAGATGGCCCGTTGGCCAACCTCACCGTTAAGCCACACCGCTCCGCCGAAACCCCCACACGAACACGAAAGCAGCGACGGTTTCGCAGTGTGGGGCCACGAAACGTATGAGGGGTGTGCCAGAATGGGCCCGACTAAGCATGCGGACGATACCACTTGGGCCTTCGGTGGACCTCCCTGTGGGACCACGAAACGTGTGAGGGGTGTGCCAGAATGGACCCAAGAAACCATGCGGACGCTGCCACTTGGGCCTTCGGAGGACCTCCCTGTGGGACCACGAAACGTGTGAGCGGTGTGCCAAAGTGGACCCGAGAAACCATGCGAACGCTACCACTGGGGCCTACGGTGGAGCTCCGGAATGATGATGATGATGATGATGATGATGATGATGATGATGATGATGATGATGATGATGATGATGATGATGATGACCATGATGATGATGATGCTGCTGATGATGATGATGCTGATGATGATGATGGTGATAACGATGATGATGTTGATGATGCTGATGATGATGATGGTGATGCTGGTGATGGTGACGGATGATGATGGATGATGGGTGATGGGTGATGGATGATGGATGACGATGATGATGATGATGATGATGATGATGATGATGATGATGATGATGATGATCATGATGGTGATGGTGATGATGGTGTTTTTGATGACGATGATATATTTGGCGATGGTGATGATTAAAGGAGGAATGATAAGGAGGAGTGATAAGGAGGAGGAGAAGGAGGAAGGAGGAAAAGGAGACGCGCGGCGCTGCGAATTCAGAACGAGGGCCCAACACACAGAAGGGTTGGGAAACAACACTTCTATGGCAGCACCCGAAGATCATGCTTACACCAAGCTCTTGTTTCCTCTCCCAGGACCGTGGGCTCGTCCCGCTGCACCCACGCCCAGGAGACTCCTTTGAGCAAGGAAAAACTGCATAAACATACACACTCTGAGGTCCGTGCGGATTTCTCGGATCGGGGCTGGACCCCCCCCTCTGGCGTGCGGCCCAGTGCCGACCAAGGAAATATGCGAGGACATTCAAAAATCAATGTGTATGAAACTGCTTTATGGGGGTCGGAAAAAAAAATCGATACCGGTGCCGATACTCCCCAGACCTCTTTGGGGTACGTTCTGCTCAAAATTTCGAAGCGAAGCCCGCCATGGCGACGAGGACTTCCCACGGGAAAACGAATGCAGGGTAGCGGTATCGGTGCCTTGTTTTTTCAATCCGGGGTCCCCTGAAGTCTTGACCCTTTCCCCATGGCCAGTGTTTCACCCCAAGTACATGTTTGACGGTCCCGGGGCAGACGGGAGACCGAAAACGGTCAAGAACCTCCCCTCCGAACTCCGGTGCGCCCCGAAGCCACGTGAAACGAGGGAGGGGTATCGCGGCATCGAAGGCCGAACCGACTCGGTCGACTCCGATCGATCGCATTGGATCGGCGGTGGATAAACCTCCCTTTAATAGACCTCCCCTTAGTGAAAACGGCCTGGGACCGAAACCGACGGACCTGGACCTGCAACAATGACGGCCGCGACGCCCTCTCGCGGACCGAAAACGGCCAATTCCTGAATCGACGTGTCAGGGTAGGAGGTCTGTCCACCCCCGATTGGAGTAGGGCCCCGCCTGGGTCGTACCCGGGCAGCGCGGAGGCCGCGGTGCGCTGCCCCGCGGCGCGCTGCCCCGCGGCCTGCCAGGCGGCCACCGCGTCGGCGGCGCCCGCCGCGGCGGCCCGCAGGGCGTCGCGCACGGGCTCCGCCAGCTCGAGGCGCGCCGCCACCGCCTCCGAGAGGAAATACGAAGGGTCGGAAGCTCGAAGGGTCGAAGATTCGAAGGTTCGTTCGAGGTCCTCCGGCGTTCGAGAGGAAATACGAGAGGGTCGAAGATTCGAAGGTTCGAAGGGTCGAAGATTCGAAGGTTCGATTCGAAGATTCGAGAGGAAATGCGAAGGGTCGAAAATTCGAAGGTTCGTTTGAGGTTCGCCGGCGTTTTCGTCGCTTCTCGGCGGCGGTCCAGCCGCGGGGTGCTCTCCAGCGGCTGCGCCTCGCCGAGAGGCCGCCAGGGGGTTTTGCAGTCCATCAGAGCGGTCAAAGCGTTTTGACATTTCGGTTTTGATCGTTCACGTTTTATGCCACTTTTCGGCTCTCTTGTATTCCCGCTGCTGTGGGAACTTCGCCGGCCCAACGGGCCAGAGGCGTGCTAAGATCTCCGGTAACTGCTAAATAAGACTTCTACTTCGCGCGCGCGGGGCGGCCCCTGGGGGTCCCCGGACGAAAAGTACCCCGGGCGATCCCCGGCAGGGTCGGGTCAGAGATGGTTTTCCTCCTGGGCGCCGCCCCCGTGGCCCTCCAGAGAGCCCCAAGAAGGGCCACGAGGCCGCCAAGAGCCCTCCAAGATGGTTCAAGAGTGCTCCGAGATGCCACACGATCGTTCCAAGACGCCCAAGATGGCCCCCAGACGCCCCAAGAGGCCTCCAAGAGCACTCCCCAGAGGGCCCCAAGAGGCAACATGCATTACTTTTCCTTAGGTTTTGGGCAGATTTTGGCGTGTCCATCTTTTCGGCTTCCCGACGCCCCAAGACGGCCCAAGAGGCCCCCAAGATCGCCCCAAGAGGGCCCAAGAAGCTCCCAAGAAGGCCCCAAGATGGCCCAAGAGGGCTCCAAGACGGCCCCAGAGGCATCCAAGACGGCCCAAGAGGGGCCCAAGAGGGCCCCAAGCGATGCCCCAAAGGGGGAACACAAAACAATACTTCGAGCCCTCGGCCTTAAGAAGCCCCCAGGAGGCCTCAAGAGGCCCCTGAGAGGCCTCAGCAGGCCCCCAAGCGACGCTGAAGAGGCCCGCCCGCCCGCTCCGTCGCCCGCCCGCTCAACTTGTTTGTATGCCTTCCATACGTCTCTGGAGCGTCTTCAGCTCATGCGCAACCGGCCCGTGCCAACTCCCTCTTGGAGCCAACCCCCCAACGCAGCAGTCTCAGCCAAGACTGCCTGGCAGCATGGCACCCGTGCTTGAGGCCGAGACTCGGGCTACGGATTCGGGCAAACTGAACAGCAAAGCGCAGTGTTTTGCTCCGTTTCGGGGGCCTCGAGAGGTTCGAGAGGGCGCTGGTTTCAGCGGCTGATTTTTGTGTTCCGTTTCCGATCACTGGTAGCGCCGATTCGTGCTAGCTTTCGAACTTGGTTTTTACACTTCCCACAGCGAAAACTGAAAACGGGGGCAACAACGTCTTGACCGTTTGGTACTCTAAGTCCGGGTCTGCCTGGGTGGTAGCGAACGGCCGCCAGGGGCCCGATTCATGGCCCGAAAACAAATTGGAACTGGCTCAGGACAGATCCCCGACAGGCCCAAATATCGAGACCGCATATTCCTGGGCTGGGTGGACCATCAGGCTCGCATCGGTGATGAGTGAGCGATTGGAGGCTGTTTTTCTGGTCGGCGATCACCCAGGTTATCTTTTCTTGGATCGGCGATAATCCGGGTTGTCGGGGGGGCAAGGGGCTGACCGATAACCTAGCCTTTGCGCTGTGGGCCGCACCACATATGCCTGTGCGCACCAGTGCTGCCAACGATGCTGCGACGATGCTAATATTCGTGCTGCGACGATGCAGGCGCCGTCTGGGAATGCCGAAGGATCTGTCTTGACCTGCTCAACTGACAGGGTGAGGCTATCTGGCTGGGGTGGGGGTGGGGGGGGGGCGGGCCCGATAACCCGACTTCTCGCTGGACCCTACAGAACAGCCTCTTGGGGGTCGATGCGTCCCCAGTCACGTTGCCCCTGAGCCTCGGGCAGGTCGGGCGAGGGGGACGTCACGGCTTCCAGCAGCTGCCGAGCGCGCCCGGCGGAGGCGGCGCGGTCGACGACCTCGCCCGCCATGCGCTCCCAGGCGGCCGTGGCACCGCTCATGGCGCAGGCCCAGTGCAGCAGGCGGGCCCACTCCGCCACCATGCCACCGCCCTGCTGCCGGGGGAGACGCAGGCCCACGACGCTGGTGACCTCTGGGGTGAACGAGTCGGTGTCCGCGCCGCTGCGGAGGACGTCCCGCCACAGCGCCTCCACAGGGGCCGCATCCGCTGGGCCCAGGTTCCTCTTCAGCAGCAGCACCTCCAGCGCCATGCTTCGGTCGGCCAGCTCGGCGATCTCCGCGGCGGGGATGGCGTCCAGCTGGCCGGGGTATTCGGCCAGCTCCCGCAAGAGCGCCCCCAGGACCAGCCGGAGCGGCGAGCGGTCCTGCTTCCCGAGGTCCCTCAGGGCCACGCCCAGGCGCTCCTCGCGGCACGCCACCAGGGCGCTGCGCAGCGCAGCGGGCTGGCCCCGCACGGCCTCCCCGAGGGCGGCGCTCAGCACCGCGGCGGGCGGCGTGCCAGCCCTGGCGTGCTGCAGCTCCCGCTGTGCGGCCCTGACGAGCGCGAGCGACGCGCCGCCGCCGCCGGCGTCGAGGGCCTCCCGCAGCGCCAGAGCCAGGCTGGCGACCTGAGGGGCAACGATAGGGGGGATAGGCATGGCATAGGGGGGATGCATCGACCTGGAGTCGGCGATACATCGCCGACAGATCGGCGATAGGCCCCCGATAATCAGTGAATCCGTGCATTCCTGGGCGGGTCGGGGCTATCGGCGATCAATGGGCGATTGGGGGTCGATGAGTCCCCCCCTTATGCATATCCCCACCCTATCGTTGCACCTGACGACCCGCCCCTCAACCGCCAGCCCGTCCCACCACTCCGCCTCCTCCGCCGCCTGCTGCTCCCTAGCCAGGCGCGCCTGGTGACGGGCGTGGGCGGCCCGGGCCTCTGGGTCCTCGCGGAAGTCGCGCCACGCCCGCGCGTCGCGGTCCTCGGCCCGCTGCAGCAGCGCCAGGGTCGCTGGGTCCAGGCGGCCCTCGCGAGACGAAGCCAGGACGAGGATCAATTCGGGCGGCTCTGGAGGATGCCTGGGGCGCCGTGGCCTTCTCAGAGCGTTCTGGAACGCTCTGAGAGCGCTCCGGAACGCTCCGGGACGGATTCATCCCCGCCCTGGCCCCGTCCGACCTCGCCCACCCGCGCGGGCGTCATGCCGTTCACGGTGACGACCCTAGGGCTGGCGCCGTGCCTCAGCAGGGCTCGCACGGACTCGTTGTGGCCGCGGAGGGCGGCGTAGAGCAGAGGGGTGAAGCCGCGCTGCGTCGTCACGTCCACCTCCGCGCCGTGCTGGACAAGGACGTCGATCAGTGCAGGGACCTCGGCACTCCAGCGGTGCTGGACAGCCATGTGCACGGGCGCCTTGCCGTTCTCGTTGGTGTCGCGGACAATCCGCTTCGCGACGCCCGCCTCCAGCCCAGAAAGGTATGCGCCGATCTCCTCCACCGAGACCTTCTTCCTCAGCCGCCCACACGCGCTCCTCAACCACTGCGCACCCGCGCCAGCGTCGTCAAGGCCATCCTGCCACCAGCGCGGGCGTCTGTAGCGAAGACCTGCCCGGCTCCCGAGCCTGCGGGCCCGCAGAGGCTTCACGAGTGCTGCAGGGCAGGCCTGCGGCTCGGAGCGTCGCGCGGAGCCCCACAGACCGCCAGCGTGAAGACAGCACAGGGCCGACCAGAGCGTACACACCCTGCCACGGCCCACACGCCCCTGATGGGGGTCCAGGGTCAT